ACAGGGTCCCAGCCAGCAGGGGCTCTATGGAGCCGGGCCAGCTCCCACCTCTCCCTGCTGGTGCAGCCCAGCCTGGCTCCACAGACCCCTGCCAGCCTGCGCCCTGCTCTGGGCCTCACCAATCCTGGCCCTGGGACATTGGTCCCAAGATGGTGACCCCAGGGGGCGGGGCACCTGTCAAGGGGTGGGGCTACCCATGCGGCCCTCAACAGCTTGCCAAAACTGGGTAAGCGGCCCTCTGCCGGAAATAATTGGCCACCCCTAAATTATACACTCATAAGTATGTATGTGTGTGTGCGTCTGTATTTTAGGGGTAAGCCTCAATCTGGCCAATGTACAACTTTAACTCATCTGGTTCACAAATACACTGTAAGAGTATGTACCCCCCTGAAAAAATCCGAGGCCCACTGCTCCTCCCATGCTAGACAACCTTAGGGTTGCCCAAAGGTTATAGAAATGGAAGATGAGCTAGAAAGCAAAGGAATGAGAATGATTGCTTACTGCTGATGCTGGAGGCCACGGGCAGCCTGAAAACTGTCCCGAGAATGAAAGAGCAAGCATATTCTATACATTCCCTGTGGATTAGGAGGCTAGCACCTAAGCAATGCAGAAAGGGATGAGTATGTTTGCAGGGAGTGGAAACATGGAAAGAGATGTAGAAAATGCACAAAGGGTGTGATGAGGAAGACAGGTGCACCAATGTATGGTGAGAGATGGCTTCAAGAAAAATTGACTTGGTGGGAAGGAAACCATCCAGGTAAGAAAAAATGAATTATGGAGTTACCAGAAGTCCCTGAAAACACAAAACTAAAATGAGAACAAAAGAAAGAAATGGAAAAGGCAGGAAACATATGTACAATTACTATACATGGAAGTTTTTATAACACTAGCCTTTTATTATATTGCCTTCAGAAAAAGGAAGGTTGTTAGGAAAGGATAGAGATCTGCTGATCTCCTAAGTGGAAAAGTAAGAAATCAGGTGCACTGACTGGGATGCATGCCAGGCAATTTTGAACTTTCCAGGGCCAGTACTATTACTGTAAAGTGCTTTAGAAACAATTTTTAATTACAATAACAAGTGCTCAGCACCTTTCAAGAGTATCAGCACTCATGAAAGAACCGTATTCTTCTGTGAACTGTCATGGATTATTTAATTTGCCAGTTATGACCATGTGTTACATTGAAAAGGTGGTGCCACCACAGCTCTCCACTGCATCCTGTAAGATGCAAGCATTTTCAAACACTGCCATTTTGAAATCCATTTCTTTCCAGCCCATAACAACATTTCCAACACTAGTGATTCAAATGGTCAAAAGAGAAAATAAGAGAAAGTTATATATATTTTCTAAAAATGGGAAACATGAACCAGCAAATACCTGAGAGAGAATCAGTTGTCCATGAAACTTCTGGACAAATGTTCTTAAAAATGTAAAATACGTAGCCTCTCCTATTTTTCTTGCTAAAGATCGCAGAAGAAAATAGCCCTGAAAGAAATCATGCCGAAGACAACAATTAAACTGTTATTTAATGAAGTGTTTCTAACACTGATGGCAGCTTTGACTAGAAGTCAGTTTAGCACTCTCACCTTCAAATAATGAACCTGCATGAAGATTTTTTCTGCTTTAAGGCCATGTTTGATAATAGATGCTCCAGACTCACTCGTTTCTCCCGTGTTCTCTTTTTTGGGCCTAAAAAAAAAAGTTGGATAAGTGAATAAATAACTGCTTCATCGCAAACTTTCAAAACATGACAGTAACTTTGGTATCTTCAGGCACTCCTCCATAGTGCATTAATCTGTGCTACTTTGTCTGAGTTGGCAGTTAAATGTAATTATTACAAAAAGAAGAAGTAAAAAGTAATCTGCATCATTTTAATGCAATTTTGTGTGTGGCTGCACAAACAGCTGAGACTACACAGAAAGTCAGTGCTAAGTTGGTGTAACAGTACTCACTCTTCCCTCCCAGACATGACATCATGCTGCTAGGCATTCCATTAAGACATACTACATAGGACAGCAGTGTCACTTCACGAATAAAGGGAGGAAAACAGGAGATATTTGAGAAGTGGGGAAAAGGGAAAAAAGAATACTGAACTCATTACACCCAGCTACATAGTTTCACTTCTCACACCTGAGCACTGGCTTAACAGCTCACAAGACAACACCTGCAAGAATGAATAACCTCTTTCATCTACATGTAACAGACTTCAGACAGTATAAACTTTAATTTTGTCTTTTCTTTGATTTGTCATTGTGTGTGCATGTTTAAAGACAAGCAACCAAAATTTTGAACGAGAGAGCCTGCCACACACAGCCTTGGGGTTTCTCATCTAGACAGACAGCAATACCCAGAACAAATTTAAATTTTAGAACTGGATCTTCAACTTCTGAAGCTCAACAGGCAAGTCAGAAATCTACATGTGTTATAAATACTTAAGAGCCCTATAAGTTTAACCATAAAGGGAAAATTAAGAAGAAATTATTAAAAAAATGGTTTCCCTCCTCTGCAAATGGTGTGTCCTATATCAGACACACAGAACTGAAGAGCCCACTAATTCTCACTCCTCTCAGAATCTCTTTCCAGATGGTATCTAGCTAAGTCACCAGGTGGCTGAAAAGTACAGGACTCCCTTAGGAGTCTACCTACATACCTGTGAAATAAAACTCTTAGATTCTAAATGTGTATTTACTACTTCTGAAAAGTGCCAAACTAGCAGTTCTGGAGAGTACTTTTTCCCCCTGCTACAGTACAGCAACAGCAGAGGCAGCAGCAATATTAGCTGCTTCATATCTTACTATCCACAGGTCTCTAAAGGATCAACACTTGGGATCAAATGTCAATACCTGTCAATAAACCTAGGATTCTGTGTTACAGAAGACTTTTTCTCCCTTGCACTTATATAATAGTTTGTTATTGCAGGTTTGCCCAAGAGTGCTGAGTGTGTGTGTGTGTGTGTGTGTGTGTGTCTGTGTGTATCACATTCACATCATTAGAAAACAAACATGCAGTCTGAAATTAACTGTGAAAAAGGAAGTATATGCATTGTTTATTTTGTAATGTCCTTGATAGCATCCCTTCAGTGTGCTGTATTATGCTTTTAGAGTGAAAGTCCCACTTTAAACAATAAGCAAAGAAGAAGAGGGAAAGAAAAAATACATAACTTGGGATCCGTTTCTTCAAGACATTATCTGTAGTATGGATCTCACTGTAGGTGACTGGGGGTGTCTTGTACAGATATTTAGTTTCTCCTGGGAGAGTGGCTACTCTCCTAGAAGAAACCAAGGGTGTACAGATGTTCAAGTATTTTCAAGGAGAGTTTCTCCTCAGGGAGTGAAGGTCTGGACATGCTGTGGCTTCTCTCAGAAGAGAACATAGTCTTCCAGCATTCCCCCTCTCTCCCTGCCCCCAGAAAGGCAGTCTGTGGCTTACTGTACTCTATTGCTCCAGCAGAGAGAGGAACACACACACTTCACAATCTCTTGCATCATACTGCACAGAAACGCAGACTGACCATAGGTAGTCAGCGTCAGCCAAGCAGGCTTGCCCTATGCATTGCAGCCATCTGTCACCAGGCAAAATAAGGGAGCCTACAGATCGCAGTGAGATGTGTGCACAGGGTCCCCCCTGGCTGTATAGTGTCAGCACAGCAAGCTCTCCACTCTACAGGGCCTCAGCATTCAAATGTCTGTACATATGGTACTGTGTAAATTTCTCTACCAGAAGAACAAATCTGGAAAATTCTGCTAGATTAATTGAATGTGTACATACAGCCTGGGTGCCTGAGCTTTATGCCCACAAGATTGGGATCTTCTGAAGGGTTTTCAATAGGAAAACACATATGCATTCTATCTCCTCATGCTCCCGCACAAGGACATAAAGATCAGAGCAATCAAAACCATCCTTCAGTGCCATCATTTTTCAGCAGGCTGCATGTTGAAGACTCTAAAAAACTGGGATGAAGTGGAGGTTGTTATATAAACAGTAATAAAATATCCCAAAGAATCAGAAGTATTGCAGCTAAAAGACTATGAGATACCCCAAAAGATTCTTCTGAGTACAGCTCCTAAAATATCCAGAATACATAATTTCTTTTTACCCAGTGCCGCATGGTGTTCAGGAAGAAAACAGTAAGACAAGTACCTAACCGTACTCCAAGACAACTGTAGGGATGAATTTAGGGCAAGATCTCAAAACTGTCTCTGAAACATCATATAAGGAGGTTCAGATATAAGGACATGGAGTTAATTCACTGGACTGCCTATCTAAAGAAAAGCCAGCAGGAAAGACAATCTTGAAGATAGGATGGTACAGGAAGCATTCTAAAAGAAACTAAAAGAAAAGCACTATGACACTTGGAAGGGATACAACTGGCATCTCATTCAGAAGTAGGCTCTCCTGTCAGGGAGTAAATATGTAATAGTTCTTTGAGAAATTTCCATGCTGTCCGGTATAAGATTAACTATGATTATAAGACAAATGATTTCAGAGTTGGCAGTCAAAAACTGTGATGCCACAGCTACCATGCTCCCTCAGTAGAGCGCAGCTCTACAGTTATGCTGCAGCATAAAATAACCATGCAGACTGTGCAGTGCAGGCTGTTACTGTGTCATTATTTAGTACATTCACTTTTGGAAGTACTAAATGACAGTGCAGTAACAATGGCATAGTAGGGGCATGTGTAGATGCGCCTAAAATGTTTTAAATTAGGGGTGCACTTGGTAGCCATGTTGGTTTGATATAAGAAGACATAGGAAAAACTAGAACTCTTGGTTCCAAAATTATAATGTTTATTAGATCGACTGGGAAATGGCAAGAAAATTGTCCTTTTTTGGAAATTTGGAAAATTTCAGAAGATGCCGAATTTTAGCTGATTTTGGATTTTAAACTTCATTGCAGAAAAACAAGAAAGATTTTTGACCTCCCTGCCTGCCATCTGACACCTCCAGGGAAGGAATTCTACCTGATCTACACACGAAAGAGCTACTCAGCACAACTCACAAAGACTTTCTCATGTACCCAGAGGGACAGTCTTCCAGCTTCAGCTCTCTCTGTGCAAAAATGAAGTTTATTTCCTACCTATGGGGACTCTTCACCATCTTGTACCATCTATACTTTTCCCAGAGCCTGATGAAGGGACTTTGATCCCGAAAGCTTGCAAAAAAGGACAATTTTCTTGAGATTTCCCAGTTGGTCTAATAAAAGGTATCATTTGGGAACCAAGAGTTCTGTTTTTTTGTATGTTAAATTAGGGATGCACTGATAAAGATTTTCTTGACCAATACCTATTTTTACCTAACCGTATCAGCCGATGCCGATTTATTTGATAACCCATTTGCTCCAGTTAAAACAGTAGGGCAGGGAGCAGAACAGAGTCATTGGTGCTTTGACCAGGGTGCATGTGGGTGGAGGGGTGGCCCCCAGGCATGGCGGGGACATGTACCTCCCCAGATCTGTGCACAAAGCAAATGCAAGCTGCTCACAGTGGACTCAGGGCTCTCTGCTCTGCTGCCTTTCCCTTGGGAGCCCTGCGCTGACCACACACTCCCTGCCCCCCTGGCAACAGTCAGGGTGGAGAGTTGTGCCTTCCACTGCCAAGTGGGCAGGGGACACATAGCCAGTGCAGGGCTCCTCAGGCAAAGGCAGCAGAGTAGAGAGCCCCAATCATACAGAGAGCCCCAAGCATACAGCCTGTATCCGCCCTCACTCCACTCCACTCCACTCCACTTAAAAGGCTCGGGGATTTCTGCTCTGCTGCCTTTGTCCTGGGAGCCCTGTGCTGGCCACATGCCCCCTGCCTGCCTGGCAATGGGAGGCACAACTCAGTGCCCCCACTGGTGCTGGGTAGGCAGGAGGTGCAGATATGGCATGGGGCTCTCAGGGCAAATGCAGCAGACCAGAGAACCCCAAGCCCACAGGAAGCAGCTTGCATCTACCCCATGCACAAATCTGGGGGGGCACATGCCTCCCTCATGGGATACATGCACTGGCAAGGAGCTGCCACCCCCCACCCCATTCCCTCTGGACAAGCTGCCCATGGCTCCATCCCACTCCTCGCTCTGGTCCTGGGGTCCCATGCACTGCCCTGGTTAGGTCCCACTCCCTCCCTCACCACAGGGGTCTCAATCTGCCCACCACCACAGCCCTTCACTCCCCCATGCCCCTTCCCCTCTATAGATGTACCTGCAGGGAGCTGCTCTCTACACTGCCCAGCTGTGTTCATGGCCACATGCATGAATGCAGCCATGCACATAAACATGGAGCCCCCTGTGTCTCGCTCTCAAGCAGGACTCCTTGCAAGCTAGAATGCTGCTCACCTGCAAGGGGAAACCTGCCATTTTCTGAGGGAACTCAGACATCCAGGGGCTCTGGCCCCATGGGGGAGTGGGAACTCAGGTGTCCAGGGCCCTGGCCAGAAGGCATAATTATGGGTAAATATTATTGGCTACAACAGCCAAAAAAAGCCAATGGTTGATAAATGTATATTTCCCTTTTATTGGTGCCGATCCAACAGGCAACCAATATATTAGTGCCTTAATTATTATATACCTCTATTTTAAATCCAACATGCAGTCAAGATTCTTCAGTATTAGAGTCTCTAGATTTTATTGGGCAGTCTGGATCTGGATCTGTGATATCAGATCCAGGCACTCTGAAAACTGGCTGGGGGGTTGAATAGTTATCTACAAAAC